TGTCTCTTCCCCATTGAATGGACTTTGACCCACTGTTGAATATTAGTTGTCCATAGATGGATGGATTTACTTCTGGGTTCTCAATTCTGCTCCATTGGTCTATGTATCTGTCATTGTACCAGTACCAGGCTGTTTTGATTACTATGGCTGTATAGTAAACTCTGAGATTAGGAAGTGTAAGTCCTCCAACTTTGTTCTTCTTCAACATTGCTTTAGCTATTCAGGGCCTCTTCCTTTTGCATATGAAGTTGGAGATTAGTTTTTCCATTTCATTAAAGAATTTTGTTGGAATTTGGATCAGATTTGCATTATATTTATAGATTACTTTGGGTAGTATTGACATTTTCACAATGTTGAGTCTTCTAATCCATGAGCATGATATGTTTTTTCCATTTATGTAAATCTCTTTTGATTTCTTGCAGTAGTGTTTTGTTGTTTGCCTTGTATAAGTCTTTTACATCACTGGTTAGATTTATTCTTAGGTATTTTATCCTTTTGGAGGCTATTGTAAATGGTATTGTTTTCCTAATTTCCTTTTGGAGTTCTCCTTGTTAGTGTAGAGGAATCTGATTTTTTTGTTCATCTTGCACCCTGCCACTTGCTGAATCCTTTTATTAGTTCCAGTAACTTTCTTGTGTTCTTGTGGAGTCTCTGGGATTTTCTACGGATAGGATCATGTATGTTATATGTGCATACGGACAGTTTTACTTCTTCCTTATCAGTTTGGATACCCTTTATTTCCCTTTCTTGCCTTATTGCTATAACTAGGACTTCCAGTACAATATTGAATAAGAGTGGTGATAATGGGAATCCTTGTCTGGTTCTTGTTCTCAAGGGGAATGCTTTTAATCTCTCTCCACTGAGAATAATGTTGGCTGTTGGTTTTGCATATATGCCCTTAATTATGCTGAAGTATTTCCCTTCTATTCCTATTTCGCTGCGTTTTTATCAGGAAAGGGTGTTAGACTTTATCAAATGCTTTTTCTGTGTTGATTGAGCTGATCATGTGATTCTTTTCATTTGTTTTATTTATGTGGTGAATTATGTTGATTGATTTTCTAATGTTAACCACCCTTGCATCCCTGGTATAGATCCCACCTGATCATGATGTATTATTTTTTTGATATGCTATTGTATTCTGTTGGCTAGAAATTTGTTGAACATAGGATTTTCAATGGGAGATTTTTTGAAGTAGATTGCCATGTCTTTCTTCCAAAATGCCTCTGAGTGAACTGGAACCTCCAACCTTTCAGTTATCAGCCAAGTGTGTTAACTGTTTGCACTACCCAGCAACTCTGTAGGACACCAGAAGGATGGCATTAAAAATGGGCTGTGGAGGCCAAGGGAGTGAGCCGAAGTTGAGGGCATTTCCGCCCAGGGGCTTCTTCCAATTCAACAAATGCTTGTTGAAGGCCTGCTGTGTGCTGTCACAGCAGAAAAAAAGAAATATAGGGGAATTCAAAGAAAAATGAGGCACTCTCTCTGACCTCAAGATACTAATAATTTAATAAATAGAATAATAGTATATAGGAATAAGAACAACAAGTACCAGTTACCACAGAGTTGACTCTGAGTCATGGAGACCACATGTGTTTCAGAATAGAACTGTGCTCTGTAGGGTTTTCAATGGCTGATTTTCGTAGGCAGATCACCAGACCTTTTTTCCGAGGTATTTCTGGGTGGACTCAAACCTCCAACCTTTTTTCTAGCAGCCAAGTGAGTTAATTGTTTGTACCACCCAGGGACTACAGGAATAAGACAAATAACCATAATACAACATAGAAAGTCCAAGTTCCAAATTTTAATTAAATTCTACCAACATTTTATCATATACCTCCTACATGCATGGCTCTTGTTAGATGCTGGGTTAGAGGGATGACAGCAAGGCATGTCCACATGTGATGTCAATGAAGTGTGCAGGGACAGTGTAGACAATGGAGGTAAACAATTGACATGCAGGGACAGACAGCATTTAGCAAGGGATGACTGGCATTTCTGGCATTTCAGAAGAGCAGAGATGACTAGGGGGAAAGGCTGTTCTCCATCGAGGACAGAGCATGTGCACTGGTGTAATGGTGAGACACTGCAAGCTGTGTCCGGAGAACAGAGTGTAGCTCATTATTCCTGAAACTTGGATTTGGAGTGGAGTGGAGACCAGGGCTTCAAACCGGTTCATTTTGGCTTGAATTCCTGCTGAGAACTTGCATTTCTAACAAGTTCCCAGGAAGTTATACATAAGAATCACCTGGGGAATCTTGATAAAATGTAGATTCTGATTCAGTATATCTGGTGTGGAAATTCAAATTCTCAGCAGGGAACTTGTTAGAACTGCAAATTCTCAGCAGGGGTTTGAACCAGAATGAACCAGCTCAAAGCCCTGGCGGAGACTGGGTAGGAAAGTAAAGGCGAGGGACAAGCAGGAGTCAGGTTGCAGAGGGCCTTAGGAAGGGATTGGATTTTATCCTCAAGCAATGGAGGCCTGGCCTGAACTGACAATGGTCAAGGAAGTAGAACAAGAGGATGGTATCAAGAAATGTTAGGGATCTTAAGTGGTAGGGCTTGATGGTTGATTAAAAGCCTGGTAAGGGAGAGAAAGGAGGTAATTGTGAGCCCCAGGTTTCTGGTTTGTGTGGCAGGGTGGCTGATGATGCCACCAGCTGGCCACAGCACAACCACCATCTCTTCACTATTATGTACACATAACAAGCTGCCTGCCCTCTTCACCATCTCTTCACTATGCACGTACATGTACACCAGCTACCTGCCCTTCTTCACCATCTCTTCACTATGCATGTATATGTATACCAGCTATATGCCCTTTCCACCATCTCTTCACTGTGCACGTACATGTACACCAGTTACCTGCCCTCTTCACCATCTCTTCACTGCGCACGTACATGTACAGCACCTACCTGCCCTTCTTCACCGTCTCTTCACTGTATACGTACACGTAACCTGTTACCTGTCCTTCCCCATCTCTTCACTATGCACTGTGCACGTGGTGGCAAGGCTCACTGAGTGAGGCCAAATCCTGGAAGTTTCTTCCATAAAACACAAAGTAGAAACAAATCAATCCCCTTACTATGTACATACACCCTTTATCTGGCTACATCTTTATTTTTACCTGATCTTCCCTGCATTCTAACCACTTTTCTGGGTCCAGTTCATTTTCTCATCTCTTGACTCACCCTTGTGGTTACCAGAAGTTTTGTGGATTGTTCTGATATCTGATACCTCAGATATATGGCATTTGGAGACCTCTCTATCCCTTCTTCCCTTCTTCTCTCTTTTCCTTTCTTCCACCTTGTTTCCCTCCCTCTCTCCCTTCTTCCTTTTCATCTACTTTTATTTTGTTGTGAAATATAATGCATTTACTGGAGTACACAAAGCATACATTTACAGCTTGACACATTTTTATAACAAACACACTTATAACCAACCACCACCCAAATAAAGAAATAAACTCTCGTGAGGCTCTCACAAACCTTCTCATATACTCACCTAATTACACCCCTTAGTGCCCCTACCTACCCCTCACAAACAACTCATCGCTATGCTGACTTACAGGAGTCACATCCTTGCTTTTCTTTTTTGTGTTATAACCTTAGTCTATTTCCTTACATAATTTTAATTTTGCCGATTTTGGAGCGTTTCTCTTCGAATTTTGCTTCTTTCTTTCAACATTGTATTTATAAGATTCATTCACGTTGTTGCATGAAGCTATGCTGTCCATTGCATGGATATACCACCATTTTTTAAAATCCATTCTACTGTGATGGTCATTGGATTGTTTTCTAGTTTTGAATTCTCATGAACAGAGCTGCTTGAACATTCTTGTAAAGATATCCTGGTCACAATTCATAAGTTTCTTTAGGGTATACCTGGGAGTGGAGTTGGTGGGTCATAAGGTGTCTTCACTATTACTAAATATTGGGTGAGTGTCCCTCTTGTTCCACATCCTCATCCCCACTTTGTATTGTCTCTCAACCTTTTTGTCTTATACCTCTGTTCTTAAAATAGACTCTCCTACTCAGATAGAATCCCCTGGGTCAGTCACTCTGTTTCCCAGGTGACTTGTGTATTAGTTTCCTAGGGCCACATAACAAAATACCACAAAGTGGGTGGCTTATAAGAACAGAAATTTATTGTCTCACAGTTCTGGAGGCTAGAAGTCTGAATTTAGGGTGTCATCAGGGCCATGTTCTGTCTGCTTCTCTTCCAGCTTCTGGTAGTTCCAGGCATTCCTTGGCCTGTAGATGCATCTTCACATGGCTGTCTTTCCTCTGTCTATGTGTGTCTTTGTGTCTCTTCTCCTCTTTTATAAGGACATCAGTCATGTATGATTAGGATCCACCCTACTCCAGTATGACCTCATGTTAACTGATAACATCTTCCAAGACCTTATTTTCAACCAAGTCATGTTCACAAGTACCAGGGATTAGGGCTTCAACATAAATTTTTGGGAGACACAATACAATTCATAACAACTTGTAACAGAGGACATTCACATGTGTGTCATTCTACTGTGAGCATGTCCATAAGAAGGTTATGAGCAATTCCCAAGTGAGAATGCCAAAACCATAAATTACTTCTGACTGATGTAAAAATAATAATAATAATTCTTGGGCTTTGGTAACTTTATTCTTTGAAGAAAAAGAAAACAATTCTTTACATGATTGTCACACCTAAGTGTTCGGATAGCCTGGTTGAGAACCACTGTCTTTGTTGGCTGAGAACCTATGTTGTTAGCAGCCTCAAGCTTAAATTTGTCGACCATCTTTTCACCCCAAAACCATGACTACCCAACACGTTTCTCTACCAAAGCCTGTCCCTCACAAACACTACCAAGGGGACAAAGAGATCAATAATTTTCCACAATCAAATGGTAGAGACACAATGGCCTTTCCTCCGGCATGTGGTACTCATGAACGTGTTCTCTTTGGTACCCCCGTAGGGTTTGACCAGCTGACCTGGACTTGGCCAACAGCCTGTCCTCCATCATGGCCACTCCAGCATTCTGGCTGACTAGGAAGATGTTTCCCTTCAAGGTGAACAAATGGATGGGGCTTGCTTGTTTCCGGTCACTAGTGATCTCCTCTCCCAACATTCGCCAGAAGAAACTAATCCACAAATTGCAGGAGGAAAGGGCTTTTCGGGAGGAGATGAAAATTTTCCATGAGAAAATAGAAGACTTCAGGGAAGAGATGTGGAATTTCCGAGGCAAGATCCGAGCTGTCCGAGGCCAGATCTTGGGCTTTTGGAAAGAGGAGAGACCTTTCTGGGAAGAGGAGAAAACCTTCTGGAAAGAAGAAAAGATTTTCTGGGAAATGGAAAAATCTTTCCGGGAAGAAGAGAAAACCTTTTGGGAAAAATACTGCACCTTCTGGAAGGAAGATAAGGCCTTCTGGAAAGAGGACAATGCCCTATGGGAGAGAGACCGGAACCTTCTCCAGGAGGACAAGGCCCTGTGGGAAGAAGAAAAAGCCCTGTGGGTAGAGGAAAGAGCCCTCCTTGAGGAGGAGAAGGCCCTGTGGGAGGATAAAAAGTCCCTCTGGGAGGAAGAGAATGCCCTCTGGGAGGAAGAGAAAGCATTCTGGGTAGAAGGTGGCAGCCATGTGGCTGAGGAGCTGATGCTGGAAGACGGGCCTTACAACGTTAATGGAGGGCTGCAGTCACCAGCCTTCTCCCGAGGCAGAGCGTGAGCACAGGAGAGGAAAGTCCAGACTCTGCTGGATTGGGATTCAAGTCCAGGGTGACCCTCATGTACTGGAAAAAATATGTACTTATTTGTCTCCTTGCTTTGAAAGATCTAATAAAATCCTGAGGGGAGGTTTGGAAAACCAACGTCTTTAAGGGAGGCTAGTTCTATTTTTCCCAGGTTTCGTGATTGTCTAAGGCATATTCCCATCCTGCAGGCTGTGTTGTCCATAGAACTTGGTCCCTAGCAGTTCACAATGAGGGCTCTGCACTACAGACGAGGAAACTGAGACCTAGAGAAGCAAAATCATTACATGTGGCCAGTGATTGGACATGCTGTTGCTCTCTTTAAGAGAATCAGAATGGGGGGAGAGGGGGTGGGGCTCAGACAACGCTAGCTACAGACACATCGGGACAGAGAGGGGCTGAGACGTCCCTGCCTCTGTCACACTGTGGAACAATCATCTCTCCTCCACTCTGGGCAGTCTTGGAGGCCTGAGTTGGGCTGAGAACTTCCCAGAAAAAGGCCACAAAGCTGTTAACAATTCATATGTGCCTCTTCCTCACTGACAGGTCATTTCAACCACACAGGTGGAAGCTTTTAACGGTCCACTTGCTGGTAGACCCAGGTCCTCACCAAACTGCTCAACTGCCCATTCTCTGTCAGCATGAGAAAGGGGCCTTAGCATTACACTGGGGCTCAAAAGCTTACCCCACAGAACACTGACCTTCCCTGAAGAAGAGACTCACACAAGTCTCACCAGATCTGGATTTTCCATTATAAATTTCCATTATAAGTTCCTTCCTTTGGGTTTCCTTTGTTCCACTGATTTTAAAATTAAAATACCCCAGAGAGGTAGTGCATTAAATGAATTTACAGTAACATGGTCAGCAACTTATGTGACCAACTTTTCTTCTGGGGGTGGGGATTGTCATGGAAATGACTAGAAGTGGGGAGTAAGAAACATCAAGTCAAGCATCTCCTGCTTTCCCTTTGCTGAGGCCTAATCTCTCCTTGTTATTAATGCATCAGCTTACCTGCCTTTGTGGGTCCCCCACTATCAGCAAGCACTTTCACATTTGCCAACCCATCCAGCTATCACCACCACTCTGTGGGCTGATAGGGAAGGCATATAACCCCACTCTACAGATGAGGAAACTGAGACCTACAGAAGCAAAATCATTGCATGTGGCCAAGCAAGTAGTAAATCGAAGGGCCAGGACACGAACCCAGATGGTCTGACTCCTGGTCCGGTCCTTTTCTAATGTAACCCTGGTCCTTGTAATAGGACTTTATGTATATAAGATCATATCATCTGCAAGTAGAGATACTTTGACTTCTTCCCTTGGATGCCCTTTATTTCTTTTTCTAGCCTAAGTGCTCTGGTTAGGACCTCCAGCACAATATTGAATAAGAGTGGTGATAAAGGGCATCCTTGTCTGGTTCCAGTTCTCAGGGGGAATGCTTTCAAAGTCTCTCTATTTAGGATGATGTTGGCTGTTGGCTTTGTATAAATGCCCTTAATTATATTAAGGAATTTCCCTTCTATTCCTATTTTGTTGAGAGTTTTTATTATGAATGGGTGTTGGACTTTGTCAAATACCTGGAATATGACTTTAGAGGAGCTCGGCCAACAATGGTCCCAGGGCTCGATGAGACTTCAAGCAGTTTAGGATTTTGCTGTGGTTTAGGGTGGTGGCAGAGACAGGGAGAGAAGAGGACAGGAGACTTTAAAAGTTGCCATAGGTGTGCTGAGCAAGCCTTCCCCATACCAGGAGGGTGGGCCAACTCCCAGGAATAGCTGGACCTCTATGGCTCTGGAAAAGTTTGGGTTCCCTGCAAGGTCCCTGGGGAATGGCAGGCTTACCCCTAGAGAAATCAGAGCTAGAGCAGTAGATAGGAGCAGCCTTTTCTTTGTCAGACACTCACCCTTGCATCCTCAGCAACCCATAGGCCCCTGGACAAAGACTTCAGTAAGCCAATGGGGGAGAAAGATGCTGGTGTGGAGAATCCAATTAAGGGAGAGACACTATAGAGGGTGCCCACACTCTAGAGGGTCTGTCCAATTATGGTGCACAGGACGGTGGGAATCCCAATACAGTAAGAAGCTGCAAGCTCAGCAATCCCGAGTGATTCCATCAAAGACAAAAACCCAGAAGACTATTGACCATAAGACCAAAGAAATGTAAACCAAATGGAGGCAGAGAGTGGCTGTATGCCGTGAATAGAAATGACTCCTAAACAGCATCCCACAGAGCCATTTTGAGAGACGCTGTCTTTGTGATAGATGACTTGAGTAGCTGTCCCTCTGATTCCATCTTCCATCCAACAAACAACTGTGAACTTTCAGTGTCCAAGGTACAGTCATCTTAAGGTCCCGGTGGGGAGATGGGTAGGTAAACAGGCCGTGAGAGCTGTGAGAGACAGATTCATGGAGTGCTCCTTTGGTGTCTTTTAACCTACTCTGGGAGGGTGGGTGGGTGGATGGATGGATCCAGAGGTATTTTCTAGAGGAAGTCATGGCTGGGCAAAGCCTCATAGTCAAGTAGGGATTAGCTACAGAAGAGGGACTGAGAGGTAGGAGGACATTCTGGCAGAGGGAACAGCACTGGTAGAGGCCAAGGCACAGGAAAGAGTGCAGCAATCTGAGGAACTGCAAATGCTTCAGTAAACAAGGGTGTCTTAGGGTTCTCTAGAGAAACAGAACCAGTGATATATAGAGAGAGAGAGAAAAAGAAAGAGAAATTTACTTCAAGGGACTTCCTCATGTGATTGTAAGGGCTGGCACACCCAAAATCCATAGGTGAGCTGGCAGGTTGGAGACTCCTGCAGACTTGGGTCCCAAGATCTATAAGCCAAGCAAAGAAAAGATAGAGAACAAGTTCTGTCAAAATATCTATTTATAGTCTGGGGGCAGAATACACCCTAAGGAAACTCCCCTTTCAACTGTTACATTTTATTAGATTACATTATGGTAGGTGATTACATTAGATTACATTATGGACCAGCAACCAGACTAGTGTTTGGCCAAACCACTGGGAACCATAGCCTAGCCAGTTTGACATACAAAATTAACCATCAAAATGGGGCAATGTAGAACAATGAGTTGAACAAGAAGGCACGTAACTGATACGTAAAGCCTTGTGAGCAAAAGGAAGCCACTGAAAGATTTTGAGGAGGCGAATGAGAGATTTAATTTTGGAAAAGATATTCTGGATGCTTAAAATGTGGTTCGTGGACAGGGGCATCAGCCTCACCTGGCAACTTGTTGGAAATGCAGAAATCTCAGGCCCTGCCTCAACCTCCTGAATCAGACTCTGCATTTTAGCAAGGTCCCCAGGTGATTTGTGTGGACTTTAAAGTTAGAGCCACACTTCTGTCTAAAGAAGGAAGCTGGAGTGGAGGAATAGCAAGATCACTCAGCAGGTCGAGGCAGTATCCAGTAAAACCCAGGCAACAGTGAAGTGTATGTGGAGAGGAGTAGGCAGTGTGGGGAGCTATTGGGAGATAGATCAGATTCCACCAGCTTGGGGATGAATTGGAATTTGGTGGTGTGGGAGAGGCAGGTGTCAAGGATAATACGTAATTTCCTAACTGGGACAATGGGGGGATGGTTGTGTCCATCACTAAGAAGAGGCAGAAGAGGAGGAGTAGGGCTTTTCAGGAGGAGAAGAATAGTAGTCTGGGACATGTTAGACTGCAGCTTCCTTGTTGGACAAGCTCTACAGAGCTTGGTCAACAGTTGGATGAACTCAGTCTGTCTCCTTGTTCATTGTTGCCCGACAAACAAGCTGTATAGCCGGCATCCCTCTGCCTTAGTTTCCTATGACTGTCATAACAAAATACCACGAAGTGAGTGGCTTTAAAGAATAGAAAGTTATTGTCTCTCAGTTGAGGAGACTAGAAGTCCAGATCAGGGTATCAGCCATGTCGATTTCTTCTGAGGGCTTTGAGAGAAAAAGTGTTCCATGCCTCCTGGCTTCTACTGGCTGCCAGCAATCCTTAGCGTTCCTTTGCTGCTTGTAGTTGTATCTTCACATGGTGTCTTCTCCTTGAATGACTCGGTTTCCATGTCTGCTCTCCCTCTTTATGAGACACTATCATTCAAGAGGGATTAGGACCTACATGAATGTCTTAGTCTTCTAGTGCTGCTCTAACAGAAATACCACAAGTGGATGGCTTTAACAAAGAGAAATTTATTCTCTCACAGTCTAGTAGGCTACAAGTCCAAATTCAGG